TGATGGCAACATATGTACAAATATGCTTGATACAATGGATGTATGGATTGTTATAAGAGCCCCCAATGAAGTGATTTCCCCTCCAACAAAAGCTATAAAATAGTGAGCTTAGCAATTGTCGAAGGTCAGCAAAAACAACAGGGTCCCTCAACGAGATGGCTTGGCACCTTGGCTGCAGCAATCCTGTTTCGAGAGGGCACAGCACCGGGCAGTGTTCCCTTCTGTTGAACATGGGGTCACTATGAGGTGTAACTGATGTGGTAGTACCTCCCACCACCACCATCGATACACCTTAACAGAAGGTGCCCTAGTGTCACAGTGGGCTAAGTACTGGGCTGCCCAAACCACAGAGTCCATGGTTCACCCCCACCAGATCCTCCACGGGACAAAGAGGAGGTTGCCTGCTCCTGTAAAGCTTTTCCATCTCAGAAACTCCAAGGAGCAGTTCTCTCCTGTGTCCTGTAGCTTCCTCTGGTAGTTCTGTAACCTGGTGTCAACTTGTGAAGGGGTGGAGTCTACCCTGTCAATCAGGTCGCAGCTTGATGACCTTATTTGGAGGCGCGAAGCAGATCAATAGCTCACCGAGGCAAGACACTCACACACTCCTTTCGAGACATTCTTGTTGATAAGTCACATGGGAGATGCACTGTTGGAGCCAGACCCTTGGAGCTGGAGGAGCCACATGGAGACCCATACCAGCGCTGAGATGCTTCCACCACCACTGGATCCCCAAGACTTTCTACCTACTGGGCTGTGATCTTCCTGCATTTGGCATCATCGCATAGCTGCGTGAGTGTAAAGAGGAATTTATGAACTAGGACTGACATATAGGCTAATATCGGACTTATGGACTTGATCAGGACTGGACTGGGATGTATGCTCAATATTCAATTGCTCTTTGATATAAAGCTCTTTCTTATACATGTATGAGTGCCTATGAATTTGTTTCTCTAGTCAGCCTGAACTCACATAGGTCCCTATGAGTCGGAATCAACCCCTGGCATTGAGTCGCTCAAACAGACCAAGCAGAACGGAATCCGTTGGGAAGGAGGCGACCGAGGTGAACAGATGTTTGAACGGGAACCTGTGCCAACCTTCACCCCGAACACAATAAAATACGCGTCATTTAAAAATGACGGTATACCTGACGATGCCACGGACTTGCTGCTGTTAGATGCCCGTGGGTTGGTTCTGACTCATAGCAACTCTACGTGTCACTGAACAAAACACTGCCGGGTCCTGCGTCATCCCCACCAGCGTAGTCACACTTAGCTTTGGGTCCCTTGTTGCAGCCACTGTGCCCCTCCGTCTCCTCCACAGCCTTCCTCTTCCTCGCCGCCCCTCCACATCACCGAGCATGATGTCCTGCTCCAGGGACTGGTCTCTCCTGACAACATGTCCAGAGTACCTGAGGTGAATTCTTCCTCTTAAGGAGCAGACTAGCTGTCCTTCTTCCAAGACGGACTGACTTTGCTCTTTTGGCTGTCCCTGAGTGGGACAGGAAGAAACTGGGATCCGGGGGTGGTCTTGCTGTGTGTCTTCTCAACAGCAACAAATGAATAGAAACAAGTAACAGACAGCACCTGTTGTAACCCTATGTTCATTGCGCAATAGTCCAAAGGTGGAAACTAGACTGGTATTGGACATATGGGCTAATATCAGACTTATGGACTTGATCTGGACTGGGCTGGGATGTTTTCTTAATATATAATTACTCTTTGATATAAAGCTCTTTCTAACACATCGGAGTGTCTCTAGATTTGTTTCTCTAGTCTACCCAGACTCACACACCCATGGTCCCATGATGCTACAGTTCGATGGATGGCCCAAAGAAGTAACAGATCTGCTCTGGAAGAAGTACAGCCAGAATGTTCATTAGAAGCAAGGATGGTGAGACTTGGTCTCAAGGGCTTTGTACATGTTGTCAAGAGAGACCAGTCTCTGGAGAAAGACACCATACTTGGTAAAGTAGAGGGGCAGCAAAAAAGAGGCAGGGATCCTCTCACAGACCCTCCGGAACACAGTCTTGCCACCATTTTTACCCAGTGAGCCCCCAAATGGCAAGCTAACACGTTAATTTTTTTCTAAACCAAAGAAAAAGGCCAGATACCTGGGAGGCACCCAGCAGAAGCAGCATATTTCTGGCTTAGTAATAACCATGAGATAATAAATGCTATTTTATGATCATAGTCATGATCAGCATACTTTGTGACCATCGTATCTTAGCCTCACAACGGGACCAGTCATGATACATGGAGGCAAGCTTGATAG